TTTTGATACTGAGACTAGACGAGTAGATCTCGGCAAACTGCCGACTTCAAAAGTAGCTCTTGGTTCAAAAAAGGTTGAGCACCCCTGTCTTATATAATTTTTACCTAAAAACGTAAACCTAAAAAAATTATTTTAAAAAATACATGAAATCACCAGCATATCATATAGTCTTTTTTTTTTTACTTAGAAACCTGGTCAGACATCTCTCTTCCTTGTTTATCACTCCTCTCTCTTTTCTCACCTGCTCTGAGACAGTAGGAGCAGAAGTGTTTTCAAAAGCTGTAAAATGGCTGCATCACGCAGCATTACCTGAATGAAACTATCAGAAATTTAGTGGTTAAGGTTATCTTGTTATGCTAAACTACAGTGTCGTGTTCAGTTTGACACAGACTGACTGAGTGACAGAGGAGAAATGCAGAGACACGTGAAGCTTTCTATGAGCTGCTGAAAGCTGCTGGAGTGGACAGTGAATAAAAACTTTATAAAAACTGTTGTGATCATCCTTCAAGCCATTTTGTGAAACTAGAGGCTGGACAGCTTCAATATTAATCCTAACTGAGCTGCAGGAAGCTCCACTATCGCTCCTCCTGCCTCAAGAAAGGCAGAGTGACACTGGAGAGTTCAGGCGTCTGAGCTCATTTGCATACTAAACAGTGATTGGTTGTTTACTGAGGAGGCGGTTCTTTGCTGCCTGCAGACAGTCTGTCCTGCACACAGCACAAAGCGGAGGAGGCAGGGATGAGAGACAAMTTGTCCATTTATTGGTGGACTTGATTTAAGGGGGCAAGGCATTCGTTTGAGGGGGCACTGCCCCCTCTTGCCCCAGCATAGAGAATCCTTGTAGAGAATCCTGATCCACACTTCTTAGCAGTTGGTGGCGGTAAGTTGTTTGTCAACCACCAGTAAATACCACAAGAAGAAGAAATCTCTGCCAGATTAGCGAACACTTTCAGTCAGTAGATGTTCAATGTTTCTTCCAAGTCTTTGCTTGATCCCCTGTTAATGACCTCATACCTGGTTTCTCCAATCTGCTCACTCCTTGCCGGGTTTGTTCAACCTTTCTGGTTCCTGAAAACAACCCTGTTTCTGCACATCGGACCTCGAGTTAAGGATCTCCCTCAGGATTTGTTCAACCTCCTGCCTCCCCATGTATGAACCTCTCTCCTCCACTTGTATCACAATCAGCTGGACCAACTCACTGCATTAAAGGCCTCCCTCTCCARCTCGCCCACCACTCCTGGTGACATCATCTTCAGTGCTGAMAACRCTATTTCAAGCTCTTGGGGGTTTATCACCAATAGTCAAGTTTTCCTTGCCTGCYTCAGAATGTTAGTGGCCAGCTTTCTGTTCCTCACTATGCAGTCAATACCTTCCAGCCACTTACCTGTGTTCTCTCTTATAGACAGGTCCAGTGAGAGGTTCCTGACTCCCAGCAGCTGCTTTTTTATAATAAACCTTGTTAAATGTTCACTATGTCCAACTGAACTTTAGAATCCATACCTCTGGTCCTATCACTCTCACATGGTTGTGGAGGAACTTTGGCCCTCTTTTCTTTACAGCATTACTTTAACCCATTGAAATTTCCAGACTTTGGTTTCTGTTCAGTTTTCTGAAAGTCCCACCACAGCATTTATGTCAGGTTAAGGTTCTGGGGTCAGATATACTGTATATAAAGCTTGCATACACACAAAATGAGCCCAGAAACTTGCGTACGCCACTTCTCACACAAAGGTTGTGATTTATAARACCTAAACTTGGCATGAAAATGTGTGGTCCCTCATGCCAGCTCTGACTCATGCATGTGATCATTTTGGAGTTGGGAAGCTGCGACACTGATGGTGAAGTCAGGAATTATAGCCACACTGAATCATGATCACTGTCAGATATTTAATTTCACTTCATAATCAAACTTAGATTTTAGATCAAGTTTATCATAAGCATTCTTAACAGTATTATTTATGCTTCTGCTTTTGAGTCTCAAAGAGTAACTTACACCAAAATTAACTTTTTTTAGCTGATAAACTGTCTAGAATGTGTCTAAAATGTTATATAGTAC